GAAAGAATGAAATACTCAAAAGGAACACTGTATACAAAACTCAAGAGGATCATCAAATAGAATGAAAGGAACACATGAAAGTCTTGAGAATAATTATGTCAGCCGGCCTTCATTTCAGATTTAAACCGACCTTCTGGAACGGATTAAGTGCAAAAACCGGAGTTCCACTGTACAGTACTGTATATGGGTTTATCTTTAAATTTTTTTTTTAAGGGTAATGTTTGAAATTAAATTAAAGAGTTTTGGGGGCATATTTAGGGTTTAAACTATAAAAATAGGCATTTATAGACATTTTTTTAATGGCGTCCAGAATTCACAGTTTTCCAAATTCTCGGGTGGTCTTGGAACGTAGCCCCCACAAATTTGGGGAACTACTGTACTTTTCAAATCACTCGTGTTTTCTCATTTGAAATATTGCTCAGTATTGCCGGCCCCATTCAGGGCTAGGAAATATAGCTGGAGCAAAAACAGAGGTTGTTTATGGCCTGCATAAAGCCAGTAAAGCATTTAAATTACAGGGAACACCTTAGTCTTAAATATGTACAGCAGGGCCTCACTTATACGGCAGGTTAGGTTCCAGGCTACCGCCGTAAAGCGGAAACCGCCGTAAAGTGGAACACCCTTTTTTTCCACTTATAAATGCATACAAACACTAGATAACAAGTTTACACTAACATATATTAAGTTAGCAATAGAACCAGGCATCAAAAAACAATAAAAAAGTACAATACACACATAGTGCACTCATTACTTACCTTAAAATATTTATAGTCTTAATCTTGGGTGAGACAAGTAGCATTTATTGTAAGAAATCAAGTGTGGTATGTATGGTAATCAGCCAGGCTACCATACCAGGCCACCCCACCCACACATACTATTCTATGATATTTAAGCATCCCAGAGCGATAAAATGTATATACAGTTCACTCGTTACTTACCTTAAAATATAGGGTGAGATGAGTAGTATTTATTGTAAAAAATCAAGTGTGGTATGGAAGGTAGTCAGCCGGGCTACCATACCTGGCCAACCCACCCACACATACATTCTATGATATTTAAGCACCCCAGAGCGATAAAATGTATATACAGTTCACTCATTACTTACCTTAAAATATTTGTAGTCTTAATGTAGGGTCAGGAGTAAGTAAATGAGATAAAACGAATAAATGAGAGAGAGAGAGAAAGAATGAGTACATGAGAGGGGACAGGCGCAGAGTTATGTAAACAAACCAGGCGAAGGTAAGTTTGTAAACAAACAGTGTACACTTCTGGTTTGTGTACAAGTTACATTGTGTACAGGTTGTCTTTTACATTGATACGGTAAGAATTAATAAAGAAGAAAACTCCCATTCTCATGTAACATCATTTTGAGACGAAATGATGCTCTGAGTGAAGGCAAGGGAAATAGTCACACTGACTTTTTTTGGGTTATGCTAGGTTCTCTACACATATGTTGTTATGTATGATAATCTGTGTAACTGTATTTGTGTATACCTGAATAAACTTACCTACATACATACGAAAGGAATAATTTCTACAGTTACCCCCAGTAACACATTTTCTCTTATGTTAGATTTTTTTTTTTTTTTTTTTATATTTTATTTAGAACAATACAATACAAGAGATAGATAAAGACAAAAACAGGTCTTACACAGAATAAATCATTAACAACCACACAAACATGAACTTGAGATAACACAAATATCCCTCCTCACCCATACATGAAAACCCCTACACCTATGATAACCAATAAACGACTAATTCCAATTGCATTGTTATATGATTAACAAAACACACCATAATATGCATATATTGTCACTTTGTAAATTATAAAGTAGGAACACCTTATACTTTAAATACAATTAACGTAATGTATTGAGAATAAGGTAAAAACAATATGTTCATCAAACACAGAATATATTAATAAACAAGGATCCAACACACTGACACCTCTACAAGCATCTAAAACATGCATATGAATAACATACATAGAACAATGTCCCACTGCAACATCAAACACAATATATTGAGTATACTCGTCACAAACCATGAATACACATCATATGCCCAAGTTCATACACATTCACCCGCTACATACCAGGAGGCGACCCCGTTTCCACCCCTGACAGCCCATCAACATAACACATTGTACCATCCCTACCCTGCCCCACCCACCTAATTTACAAATTTAATAAAACCTCTAATGTAAGGTCTCTATATCCCTCAGAGAAATCCCGCTCCCACCTCCTCCCATAAAGTTCTCTATTACGGCACAACGTTTTATAAAACTTTAACAGCCAATACCCTCCTCTTCACCTGCACTTACCCCTTTCCCCCTCATTCCCCACATAATGTAGACATAATCTACCATAATGTACCCCACAGCCCTAATAATACTTTCATCCATACCCCCACATCAAGACTCAATGCCCGCAGAACAGAGAAGTATTGACCACTTATCTTATGCAACACCCTGCTCAACCAACCCCTGACGCTCCCCAACCCCTCACATGGAATGCAGAATCCTCCCCGCACATATTCCACATACCCCCCCCCCCTCAACCACCTGTCTAGCTCGTAAGACCACTCCCGATGGTAAAATCCCATGCAAAAACCGATACATCACCTCACGTCCACGGGGTTGTAACCTGAACCTACCAAACCTTCTCCATATACATCCCAGTCATACATGGGAAAATCCCCTCCACCGGAGCCACAACCCTTTCCGCCGACATCCTACACAGCCTACTTATTTTTACCTTACCCAGATCCCTAACCATCACCACTGCCCTCAAAATAGTTTCACACTCCCTCAACTCCGTCCCAGAAAACATGCGTTTCAATTTATTGTGTACCTTAACCAACCCCCCCCCCACTCACACCCTCCCTCATCACCTCCCTTTTAATGAAGATACATTTGACCCTCCTCTTTAAGTTCATTAAACCCAACCCCCCCTGACGCACAGGTAACATTACTACATCCCTTCTAACCCCAAATCACAACTGAACCCCACAAAAATTTAAAAACCCCTCTAAGTATAGTTGCAATTGCCGTCCCCGTTAAAGGGAACACGGCAGCCACATGCCAAACCTTGCTATACAATAAAACTTTAATTACAATGGCACGCTGCACAAGGGTCAAATGATAAGGCCGCAATGCTCCCAATCGACCCAGTATCCTTTCTACCAACCTGACCGAATTATTAACACGTGCAACCTCAAGATCATCTGCATAGATTAGACCACAAATTTTTAATGACATCACCCGCTTCTTTACGACTGCACTACCCCACTCGACCCTCTCCCCCCAAGTTCCTAACCCCATAACCATGGACTTCTCCGAATTTACCCTCATACCAGTTGCACATGCAAACTGTCGACCACTCCATCTAAGGCGTTTATGGACATCCCCTCTCTAAACCAATACAGTGGTATCATCTACATACCCTATGAGAACAGGCCAAACGCCCCCATACCCCCCCAACCCCTTCACTAATGCCATATGGCGCTCCACCATTCTATAAAAGGGGTCCTGTATGCATGCAAATAAAAGCTGTGACATAGGACACCCTGTCTAAGACCTCTGCCCATTACAATCCTCCCCCCTAATCTTCCATTAATTTGTACTCTCACCATTGCCCCTCTATATAACGCCTCTACCCATCCCACTATTTCTTCCCATAGCCCTGTTTCCTAAGGATAGCTCTCAACGCCTCTCGCTCCCACCCTATCATAAGCTCCTTGCCAGTCTAGTGCAACCAAACCCCCCCCCCCTTTCCCCCCCTTTTTCTTCCACGAAATCCCTTAAAAGACCATGTCCTACCCCCATAGACCTACCTGGCAACCCAAACTGGTGTTTCCGATACAACCCTCCCTACAACACACTTGATCCTATTTCCTAAAATTTTTTGCAAATAACTTATAATCCGCGCATAACAACGATATTGTTCTATAGTCCCTGAGCGAACGCTGTTCCTTACCCTTCGGTACCAAAACAACTACAGCTGTTGCCTGTCTTTCACCCAACCTTCCCCCTTTCCTTCATCAAGTTCAGTAACCTCACCAAAAACCTTTTATTAACTCCCAATGCTGTTGATAAAACTCCGCCGCAGTCCATCGATTCCCGGTGCTTTGTCCTTTCGCATGGCACTCAAGCTCTCCATATTTCCCCTCAGTTATGTCCCCCCCAAAGCTTCCCTATCACTGTGTCCTAACCTACATGGCACACTTCCACACCACCCTCTCTAAATCCCCCAATCCTACCCCTTCCTCCCGCCAATACTTTTCGTACCACTTATCCGCAAACAACCCCATCCCATCCGTAGTGTGGATAACCTGACCCACCCTATACCCTCCCACCGACTCAAGAACCTCCAAACATGGAATAGCTGTTGCCTGCTGACGTTTTTGTCTGCGCAACACACACGAAGACGGCCTATCTCCCCATAACACACCTCCTCCACCCCCGCCATTACTCTCACCGCTTGGAAACCGCTTGTCCTGAATTTCCCGCAACCGCTCTTTAAGTATCATAATGTTGTCCATCGGATAGACACCCTCTACTGTCCCTCTTACATAACAACCCCGTAACCTGTCCTCCAAATAATTAATCAAACCCAAATTTTAAAGAATTAATCCTTTTCCCTCCCTCACATAATAATGCCGAATCCGGTCCTTAGCCACAACCATCCCACCGCGTCACCACTCCTCCACACCTTGTACCTCCTCAGTTAATCTCTCCCACAGCTCCGTAAAACCCCCCAACCCCTCCTCATCTTCCAACAGACTCGTATTTAATTTCCAATATCCCTAGAGATACAAGCTAGAGAATCCCACTCTACTTCTGCGACAACCGCCCTATGATCTGAAAAAGCTAGTTCAATAGTACGGACAGACTTTGACAATACCTTATGAGATATATACAACCTGTCTAACCTAGCTGCGTAACCTCGCCTCACGAAAGTATGCTCCACCTCCCACGCTCCCCCACCTACCACATCCCTCAACTGAACGTCCACCAAAAGATTGCGTAATGCTGTCAACATATGCCCCCCCCTCGTGGTTCCACATCCGCTCTACCCGATCACACCCAAATTCCAGTCCCCACCTACGATGGCCACTTCAGGTAAACCACGGAAAGCAAAAACTAGATCATCACACACAAAATCCCTCTTTACTTTCATATCATTTTTCAGCTGGGCATACACACTTACAAAGGTTACCCTCTGCCCCATCCACCACCCATCCACACGCAACACCCTCCCCCCCCACCCCCTTCACGTCTTTGCAACACAAACGGGCTCGCCTCCTTTATCAATAAACCCACACCACCTTTCAAATGTGCCGATGGCAGAGTCAACACCCTATACCCTTCCACCTCGAGCACTCTACCCTCCCTGAAATTATGCTCCTGTAGAAAGACTACGTCCACTCTGTATCTGTATCGACGTAAGAGCATACGAAAGCATTCCCTCTTCACACCAGTACACAGTCCATTCACATTCACAGTCATGCACTTAAGGCCTTTCTAAAGCTTCCAACCCTTTCTCCTCTCACCCCTTCCCAGGGCCTCTTGCCCCAGGGTCAACATGTGGGTTTTTCACCATCCACCCCCCCCTTTTTTCGATGCCTCTTATCCTGGCTGTCACGAGAATATACATCCTTCCTCCCGACCTCTGCGCGGGCGTCAGGACATCATCTGAGTCTGACGCAGCCGCCCTCTTCCCCCGTGACACTCTCTACCGCCATACTGTCTTCCGAAGATTCCTCACAGTGAACATCAACCTCTACTGTGACCTGTCGCACAGAGCTCGGTGACTCCTCTCTGTGCCTGCAGTTGTCCTCCTTCCTTCTCGTGCCTGTCCCGCCACACACTTCTCCTTTCAACTCAGGCAACCATTTCACGGACCAAGCCATTATCCTCGCCCCAGGAAGGTAAAGTTTCAATACCTCGTCGAGCTCCTCCTCCAGCTCTTGCACCTCCTGCTGAATTAGCACTTCCTCCCCCGTCACCGGCAAAGTGGCCATTTTTGGCTCCACACAACTCGTGCCTTTGCCCATCATGCACCACAAGAGACTCTTCTACAATTTCACTCCACAGACGGCCATCTCCTCGGTTTCCTTTGGAATTCTCCTCAACGACATCCACACCTGTAACTGGTGCTCCACCTGTTTTTCGCCGGCGCCCTCCACTGCCTCCCACACGTCACCGCCATATGATCATACTCCCCACACAACCTGCATGTCCGTCGCTGCCCAGCATACGCCACTAGAATTTGGGTCCTAAACTCCGGCATCACGACGTATGACGGGATCGGGTGCCTCAGTGTCATTTTGAGGGAGAATGTACCCTCCGGACGTCCCATGTACGCACCTGCCGCCCACTTGCCTTGGGTTGCCAGATGCACGGTACCATAAGCTGCAAACACCTTCCGTAAGTCCTCCTCGTCAGCCTCGAAGGGGACATTTCGCAACTTCACCCACGTATAGTGGCGAGAGACGTCTATGAGTCGCACTTTGACAGCTGGAGTTACATCAATACTCACATGCTCAAATTTCGTCACTAACGACTCGTACACAGCCGTCGAATTTAACTTGACGAATAGACGATAGGCCCCATTCAGGGCCACACCATAAACCTCATCATCCTGCACTCCGTACGTTTCCCTGATGATTGCCGGAAGTAACACCTGCGCCGTAGAGGGGGAAATCGCCCCACGAAGCAGCTCAACGCCGACAGTGTTCACCCTACGTCGGATACTCAGCGCCATATTGTTGCTATGAGAGCTCTCCTGACAAACAGCGACTTATGTTAGATTAAGAAAATGTTATTCTTGGCATCACTTGTACAAGTTATCTGGCTACCACATCTCATATTTATGTTATTTATTCTATTGTAGGTGTATTTATCGTTTTTTTATGTTATATATCGTGTTTATTATTAATTTTAAAAAAAATATCATGGAGGTTTAAATGAAAATTGTATATTAACGTAATATACAACATTTAAGGAAGGGTGATTATTTTTATTTTTATACATTTCTTATGGCGTCACTTGTGCAAGTCGCTGCCCCCACACTGTTTTTATGTTTATTATTTATTGTGGGTGTATTTATCATCTTTTTATGTTATGAACGTGTTTATTAATAATTTTGAAAAAATATAAAAAGAGGATTAATGAAAATTTTAAATTTAACTAATATAGACATTTAAATGAAACTCGATGATTATTATTATCATACTAAATGAGTCGGAGCATAAACACTCTTACTGATTTTAAGGGTTCCTGCATGCCAGACAGTATGAAATTTTATTTAAGACAGGATACATAAGTAAAATTTTACAGAGTAATTAAAAAAAAAAAACAAAAAAACATTGAAATTTTGGGTTTTTCAGAAAAAGGGAGATATTTATGTTACTGAGCCACGAAGAATGAAAAACAAACAAGGGGGGGCCGGGGTGACCGATTGAAAGTCAGGTGGGGGGAGCCGTATGTATTTTGGTCAAAATTTTGAAATGACCGTATTAGCGAACCCGAAAAGGAAACGCCTAAAGGGGGGCCTCCTGTATCACTGGAGAAGAGAAGAGAGGAGAGAGGGGAGAGAGAGAGAGAAAAGGAGAGAAAAAGAGAGAGAAGAGATAGAGTGATAGATAATAGAAGAAAAGATAGAGAGATAGATAGAGAGATAGAAAAATATTATACGACGGGAAAGTATTTGGGGGGCCCTTGCCCCAACTCTGCACACAACCAAACAAATACTGGAGAAAGAGATAGGGGGAAAAATGCAAAATAAAACCCATGAAAAGCAGGTTGCAGGGGGCAAAAAAAGAAAACACGTTTCAGACTTTTCAACATTTTACCAAAGATATCAGAACCATGCTGAAACGGGTGTAGAAATCTTCAAGAGGAAACAAAAAAGTATCTTCATAGGGCCGGGATCAACCAGGCTGTGATGGATTGGGGGGGCATTTGGGCCCTAGCAGAAAACATTTGGTTCCCAGGAAAACCCAGATGAGCCTAGCCCATGACTGGCCCAACATAAAAAAACTTTTGGGGAACCCATTAAAGGTAAAGGGCTGTTAGTGTGTAGAAAGGGTAACATTTTTTAAGGGATTCATTGAAATTTTTTTCTGGATTTGAGCCCGGGAGGTGAAAAATACATTCCTGCACTTGAAGGTGAGAGGGGACAAGGCGTAGTTTTGGTGCACCTTCCCAAGACATGATGGAAAGAGTTGGGAAACTTTTTTTCTTCTTTTTCGGGGCCTCGCCTCACTGGAAAAGGGGCAAAAGTTTAAAAACATGTATAAAAATAAAAAAATTATTATTCTCCATAACGCATGCCCCTACTGGTTTAGTGCTTCATGAATGTTATAAAAAAATTGCTTTAAATTTGTATGTCATTTGTAAATATTTTTGTTTACTTGTTTAGGTTGTGAGGTGGTGAACTACTAAGGGAAGAAGATAGAAGCGGGACACCTTTGAGAAAGTTTTTGAACTCTTTGAGAAGTGTATAAAGAGGGGGAGTCACAGTACATCCCAACTCTTCTCGGGGCCACAGTAAGGTATCAAAAACACAGTGTCCTCCAATTTTCCTGGGCCCAAAAGTATATCAAGAGTCAAAAATGTCAACCTATACCTTCTCTAGACCACAGTAAATGTATCAAGTGAGTCAGATTTTTTGGGGCAAAATAAGAATATCATAGTGAATCTTGTTGCTCTGGCAAATTACAATGGACTTTTCCATGTTTCGAAAATACTGCATAAACTTTTTTTTTTTTTTATGTTGGAGAGAGGTGAATTTTCTAACTTTCCTTTACAATGGCTGTGAAGTTACTGAATACCCCTTACTTCCTGGAGGAACAGTTCCCTTGTCTAAGTTTGCACGCAGACTTGGTAGTTCTTCCCCACACTCAGAACCCTTTCCCTTTGTAGATTTGAATAAAAAAAAAAAATTGTAAAGGAGACACACTGGAACGGAAAACCAAACTGCACAATTTTCCCTCTAACGAACTATGTACTTGAGCCATGAAAAACCCGGCTTCATCAAGGGTCCAGTCTTGGAAAGGTTGAGCTAGGTCCCACCTTCATAGATAAAAACTTACTCCCTGTTCAGTACATCCACACTTACTATGTCAGCTCATCTACAGGGCCTTTAAAATTTCCCAAATTAAACCCTTTACCTAAAATGCTTTCTTGATAGTTCGACAGAACCCACGGGCACAAACAGACACAAACATCTCTATGACATTCCCCGTGTCCGACTAAACCTTTACAAAAATTTAAATTTTGTCAAACCCTAAAATCTGGGAAAACCCCCCACCCGAAATTCTAAAATGCAGACACATTTACACTTTAAAAAATCATCAGAAAACATCTTTTTCCCCGATCCCCTGCAACTAATTACACGAAAACCCCCGGTGGTTAACATTACACTCACTCACCCATTTGACCATAAACAAAAATATCAATCTCAATCTCAAAATAATGAAATTTAAATATCATAAGTGGCCTGTGATACCCCAAAACTGAAACTATGTTATTGCCCAAAAAAAAAGCATTCACATTGCTAAACCACAAATTTATTTATCACTTAGCCATAATACCAACTTTTCCTCATAATTTTTTAATATTTTTAAATTAAGATTTAATTTAAGTCTGCCCGAAAAGCCTAGCCTGCTAGGTGTTTAGTGGTACACTCTGTAATTATTATTTTAATACATTAAACAATACAATAACCAAATTCTTAAACTCAGCATTGTAATCCAAAAGGAATAAAATTTGAATTTGAATTTGAATTTAATAAAATCTTATAACCCTTTCACGTCCAACCCCGAACTTAAAATTGGTTCAGGTTTCATTTTTTTTTTTTTTTTTTAATTCTTCTGAAGTTGCTTTCCATTTTTAAATTTACGTTTTTGCGGCTGCTTTATTGAATAAAATTTTATAAAAATGTACCACATTTGTGAACTTATTAAAAGGGCCGTTTGGATTTAAAAAAAGTGGTGTGATTAGTGTTCTTTTAGGGTTTTTGAAAAAAATCAATATTTCCTCTACTTTAAGCTTAATTTTAGGCTACTTCTCATTCTGAAACCAACAAAAACCCTCCAAAAATACTCGTCAAAATTTACTATTTTAAACCATACACACGTTTCAGTTTTTCTTGTCCCCCTTATTCACTGTGTGGGGCAGGGGTTTTTTTTTTTTTATGTGCAAACTCTGATACAGACCTATTCTTTTATTTGGGCCCTAATTTCTGCTCACAGTTTATCTGAGTGAAATGACTCAATAGGGATCGACGGGCCTAGCTCAAACTGTATACTACAGAAGGGCTTGAAAGGGTTAAGGGGTTAAAAGACGTTCAAAATAAAAACTGTAGACATTCCAGCCCAAAAGAACATTTTCCCCGTTCCCTAATCACTCCCCCGAATTATCCTCAGTTTTGAATCCCCCATAAAAAAAATCAAAGTTTCATCCCAAATTCTAGCTAAAAAACAGACCGTCCAAAAATATAAATATAGTAAAAAATTGTGAAAAAAACTTGGGGGGGGGTAGAGGGGCCTCTGTCAGCGTAATTGCCATAAATAGAATATTTTTTTGCTACTTTAAGGCCTGTTTTTTGGGCCCTTTTTCAGCCTAAACAACCATAATATTCCATTATTGAAGACTCCAAAAAAAAAAAACTAAAAAGCCAGAGATTAGTTGTTCCCATCATGCCTGTATGGGGCAGGATTTTTTTTTTTTTAATTGCAACCCCCATCAGACCCCTTCTCTCACATAGGTCAAAATTTACTGATTTTGGCATATTTTAGGGGGCTATATCAAGACGAGATCTATGTAAACAACACCGGGCCTTGTGCATAAAAACTTTTGGGAGACTGAAAGTATTTTTAAAAAAAAAATTTTCCCGAGATTTTAAGCTTACTACCCTTTCTTGTAAAATCATTTTATTACCTACCAAAATTTTTTTTTGATCTTAACACACCCATTAAAAAATATTATTTTGCAAAAGGGAAACATTTAGTTAAACATTACTCCCCAACTGGTTGTTGTTCTCCATCACCCGGGTCATTCATCACCAGGGTTTTCTTGTTTTCGGGCACCGATGTCACTTTTCAGTCACCGGGTATCACTGTTGCAGCCACCCAAAAGTCACTTATCAATCACCAGGGTCACGATCAGCACCAAGTGTCTTTAGTCAGCACCCGGTGTTATCCCCTTTAAATTTAAAAGCCCGAACCCCTCCAATTGAAAGCCCTTTTTGTGTTGCATTTTTAGAAAAAATAGTTTTTTTAAAATTTTAGGAATCTTTTCTGAAGGGAGGACACCAAAAATTCCCTTAGGATTTCCTTAAAATGGGACACAAGTGTGTCATTGTACATGTTGCCAATACGGCTTGCAACTTCTGTGACAGGATAAAATTCATCAATAAATGCTTGCACCTTTGTAAACATTGAACACATTTCCCTAATCCTTGACGAAGTCATCTTCCTCCTTCTCTCTTCCTCCTGCACTGACGAACATTCCTGAGATGTGATCTGTTCCTGTTGCACCTGAAGCTCTTGCAGGTCTGCAGTGGTTAGTTCTTTCTTGTCGTTCTGCACCAACTCTTCCACATCCTCGCCACAAACCTCCAACCCCAAGGACTTCCCCAATGACACAATAGCTTCCACTACTGGCATAGCCCCCTGAGGGTTAGCCACAAACCCTTCAAAATCCCTCTTCTACACATTCTGGCCACAGTTTCCTCCAAGCACAGTTCAAGGTCCTCTTAGTCACTCCCTCCTAAGCCTTACCTATAAGGTTTACACAACTGAGGATATTGAAGTGATCTTTCCAAAACTCTCTTGGGGTCAGTTGAGTGTCTGAGGTCACTTCAAAGCACTTTTGAAACACTGCTTTTGTGTAGAGTTTTTTGAAGTTTGAAATGACCTGCTGGTCCATGGGCTGGAGGAGTTGTATTAGGAAGCAAAAACTTCACTTTAACAAAACCAAACTCCCCTGCAATTTCCTCTTGCAAGCCGTGAGGATGAGCAGGAGCATTGTCCATTACCAGGAGGCACTTGAGTGACAATTTCTTTTCCTGGAGGTATTTGTCACAGTGGGGCCAAACACACCATAAAACCAGTCCAAGAAAAAATTCCCTAGTGACCCATGCCTTACTGTTTGATCTCCACAGCACACACAAATTACCCTTGACGATATTGTTTTTCCTGAACACGGAGTTTCAGAGTGATACACCAATAAAGGCTTCACTTTGCAATCACCACTAGCATTACTACACAACATTAATGTCAGCCTGTCTTTCATAGGCTTATGTCCTGGGAGTGCCTTTTCCTCTTGAGTAATGTAGGTCCTGTTTGGCATTTTCTTCCAAAACAGGCCTGTTTCATCACAAACACTTGTTCAGGTTTTAAGTTTTCAGTGTATTCCTTAAAGTCCTTCACATATTTTTCAGCTGCTTTTTTGTCTGAACTGGCAGCCTCACCATGCCTTACCACACTGTGTATGCCACTACGAATCTTAAATCTCTCAAACCAGCCTTTGCTGGCCTTAAATTCATCATCAGCAGCACTATTTTCAGGCATTTTCTTAATGAAATCATCATGCAACTTCCTTGCCTTTTCACAAATTATAGACTGAGAAACACTATCTCCTGATAATTGTTTTCCGTTTATCCATACCAATAACAGTCTCTCTACCTTCAGTTATATGCGGTTTCCATTTTGAAAACTACTTGAACCTTTCACAACAACAGCTTCCTTGATTTCCTTTCTGTTTGCCAAGATAGTACTGATGGTTGAATGTGATTTGTTGTATTGCCTTTCCAACTCAGACATGATTTGTTGTATTGCCTTTCCAACTCAGACATACGCACTCCACTCTCGTATTTTTCAATTACAGTGGACCCCTGGTTTACGATATTATTTCATTCCAGAAGTATGTTCAGGTGCCAGTACTGACCGAATTTGTTCCCATAAGGAATATTGTGAATTAGATTAGTCAATTTCAGACCCCCAAACATATACATACAAACGCACTTACATAATACACTTACATAATTGGTCGCATTGGGAGCTGATCGTAAACCAGGGGTCCACTATATCTCTTTCTTCATTTCCATCATAATTCTCACAGGCTTGGCACTAGGAATTTTCTTGGGGCCCATGGTGGCTTATTTAGCAGTTACATGCACTAAAAACACTGGAATAATCCAAAATACTGTATATGGCAGGCAGACGGGGAATCAACCGCAACAGCTTATAAACAATGGCACACTGAGTCTTGGAGTAGCTGGGCCCGCTTAGGCCGTGCTCCCGGCGCATGGACATGTTTCAGATGAACGTCGTTGGTAGAGTTTTTTGCCTTTGGCAGAGACTTTTTTTACATCAAAAAGCGCCGTTAGACGAATTTGTCGTTACTTAATGCCGCCGTTAGTTGAGGGTCCACTGTATAATAATAATGTAGGTATGAAGTCTGCCTGGGCTTCATACCTACACCCTCCTACATAGCTACACAATATTTAATGTGGCCCAGAGCCATATTATTACCATTGACATACCATGTTCACTGAGTTTAATCGTTTATAGCAACTGCCTTTAGATGCCATCATGAACAAAGGGAGAAGTAATGAATAATTCATGCCGAGAATTGTAGACAAAAGCGTTATGTATTAAGGGGAGTGACATAATGTTTTCCCTCCACCCAGCTATCACACCTCCATAGTATATAAACATAAAATGTTTATATGCTATGTAACGAGTTTCTTATCTAATTTTGAATTCATTCATCCATTCATTAGAGGTTCGCCGGTACTTCCGGCCCGGGTCTTCTCCATATGGTGACCCGGCTAATGTATAATTTTGAAGAAAATGTCATAGATGGATTAATGAAAATGTCTATATTGATGTAAAATTAGACATTTAATGTGCCCAGAGGGGTGATTATTATTATTTAATAGAGATACGTGCTCATGGAGTGAAACAGAATGACTTCAAGAGTGTATCAGTCTGTAGTGGAAGGAAGGCGGGGTAGGGGTCGGCCTAGGAAAGGTTGGAGGGAGGGGGTAAAGGAGGTTTTGTGTGCGAGGGGCTTGGACTTCCAGCTGGCATGCATGAGCGTGTTTGATAGGAGTGAATGGAGACAAATGGTTTTTTAATACTTGACGTGCTGTTGGAGTGTGAGCAAAGTAACATTTATGGAGGCAAAGAAGTGAATGTATGAAAGTATAGTAGTACCAACACTCTTATATGGGTGTAAAGCTTGGGTTGTGAATGCAGCAGCTAGGAGGCAGTTGGAGGCAGTGGAGATGTCCTGTCTAAGGGCAATGTGTGGTGTAAATATTATGCAGAAAATTCGGAGTGTGGAAATTAGGAGAAGGTGTGGAGTTAATAAAAGTATTAGTCAGAGGGCTGAAGAGGGGTTGTTGAGGTGGTTTGGTCATTTAGAGAGAATGGATCAAAGTAGAATGACATGGAGAGCATTTAAATCTGTAGGAGAAGGAAGGCAGGGTAGGGGTCGTCCTCGAAAAGGTTGGAAGGGAGGTTTTGTGGGCGAGGGGCTTGGACTTCCAGCAGGCGTGCATGAGCATGTTCGATAGGAGTGAATGGAGACGAATGGTATTTGGGACCTGACGATCTGTTGGAGTGTGTGCAGGGTAATATTTAGTGAAGGGATTCAGGGAAACTGGTTATTTTTATATAGCTGGACTTGAGTCCTGGAAATGGGAAGTACAATGCCTGCATTCTAAAGGAGGGGTTTTGGGATATTAGCAGCTTGGAGGGATATGTTGTGTATCTTTATATGTATATGCTTCTAAACTGTTGTGTTCTGAGCACCTCTGCAAAAACAGTGATTATGTGTGAGTGAGGTGAAAGTGTTGAATGATGAAAGTGTTTTCTTTTTGGGATTTTCTTTCTTTTTGGGTCACCCTGCCTCGGTGGGAGACGGCCGACTTGTTGAAAAAAAAAAAAAATTCAGGGAAACCGGCAGGCTGGACTTGAGTCCTGGAGATGGGAAGTACAGTGCCTGCACTCTGAAGGAGGGGTGTTAATGTTGCAGTTTAAAAACTGTAGTGTAAAGCACCCTTTTGGCAAGACATTGATGGAGTGAATGATGGTGAAAGTTTTCTTTTTCGGGCCACCCTGCCTTGGTGGGAATCGGCCAGTGTGTTAAAAAAAAAAAAAAAAGTGTGCTCATGGAGAATGTAAAGAAACCAAGTTTGCACATGCCATATTTGAAAGACTGTTTGCGGTATAGAAAGTTTTGGTTATGATTGCCGTATTAGCGGAACGCTGTATGGCGAAACGCTGAAAAGCTGGGCTCTACTGTATTTTAGAGTTGATTTTCTCTATTCTGTTTATTAAAATATACAGTACACTACTGTATAAACATTAAGAAATACAGTGGACCCCCGGTTTACAATCAGCTCCCAATGCGACCAATTATGTAAGTGTATTTATGTAAGTGCGTTTGTATGTGTATGTTTGGGGGTCTGAAATGGACTAATCTAATTCACAATATTCCTTATGGGAACAAATTCGGTCAGTACTGGCACCTGAACATGCTTCTGGAATGAAATAATATTGTAAACCGGGGGTCCACTGTATACTAAAAAGTTATAAATGGTGCAAAGGTGACATTAAAACAATATCTAAAGATGGTTGACACAAACCCACTACCAGTATAGTATGCTCCTCGCTTAACGACCAATTTCTTCACTGCCCTACTCTTAGGAATGGAACTCTGTCATTAAGTGAGGAGACTGTATTTTAACCTAAAACTCAGGTTCATATAGGTTATGTTCCCATCACACTGCAAGGGACACATTTTTTTATTTATTTATTTTTTTTTGCTGTGTACACCCACCGTAGTAACCCCATCCTTTGTGTCTAGTCTAAAATGTTCTGCTTGGTGAATTTGATGGTGCTATGAATTATGTCTGAGTTCGTCACTAGCTGATCATTATGATGTACTAGTATGTGACACACACCTTAAAGGTAATGTGGGATAAATTGCGTGTCAGTTGTGTATGTAGGTAGTAAGCTGGTAGACAATAACCATCCAGGAAGATACTACCATCCTCTCAAGTGTGTGAAAGGAAACCTCTCATTTTTTTCCTTTGGCACTCAGGAGTGCTGATTTTTTTATTTTTTTTTGCTTCATGAACACCAAAAATGACAGATAAATCTTAGAAATTTCTTCTTGCTCTCAGTATACACATAACTACTTTCCTGTGCACTTCTTAATAGTTCTTAATTCTGTAATATTTCCTTTTTAAACTTAGGAGGCCTAGCTGAGACTGTCCTGTGGAGAAGATAATCCCCAGAGCCAATAACAAATACTATAACAGTCTGGTGATTACTTGACATTGTCATTGTTTATGGGGCATAAGCATTTGTAGGGCTTATTAAAATTCTAACCAAAACAAAACATTGTCTAAATAAAAGCTTGTCGCACAGCATAGCTTTTCTTCTTTGTTGTCAGCAATATGTGCAGCATTGAGATCCTTGATAATTCATGTTTGTATAATTTCTGTTACTATGTTATCTAATAATGTTGTTCTCTTTCAGTGGAATGCTAGAGGAAAGAGAGAACGACTCTGTGAGCTAGTTTTTGAGAAGTATCAGGTGAGTCATTTACTCTGTATTGTTGTTATAAAGAAACCTTTAGAAGCTAGACAATTATTGCAAAGCGTCAGGAGTTAAAATTCTCACTGCTGTAGAACTGACAAAATTGTTTTAATACTGATATCCTTATAAGGGAGTGTATCATGTTGCTACTGTAGGGCTGTTGATTCCAACAATTGGAACTAGACACTTTCTCAGATCAAACTTGATTATATCTCACTGTATGATCCTTGCAGGTTTAGTGCCTCTCCATAATAGTACTAATATTAATAATAGTTAATGCAGAAATTGTCTAAAATGTATTCATGTTTAAGGGTGAATAAATTAGTTCTTGTGTTTGCTAGGTACCAGCATTTTTCCTGGTGAAGTCTGCAGTGCTTGCTGCTTTTGCCAATGGAAGGTCAACTGGCCTAGTCTTGGATTCTGGTGCCACACACACCTCTGCTATACCTGTTCATGATGGTTATGTTCTCCAACATGCTATTGTTAAGTCACCTCTTGGTGGAGACTTTCTTCTCAATCAGGTAAGAGCTTGGAGTAGGGATCACCAGTCCATGCCTCTTGGACCATATATATATATGGTCCTCAAGGTACGTCAGACATCACTGATCTGAGGACTGCACATCAGAGTTTATTGTACCTAAGGGTTTGCACACAAAAGTCACAATAATCAATAAATGATTTTTTATTGAATTTGTTTATTTACTGATTACAGTTGATGAATCTAGGTAGTAGGTTGGTAGACAGCAACCGCCCTGGGAGGTACTACCGTCCTGCCAAGTGAGTGTAAAACGAAAGCCTGTAATTGTGTTACGTGATGGTAGGATTCTTGGTGTCCTTTTTTCTGTCTCATAAACATGCAAGATTTCAGGTACATCTTGCTACTTCTACTTACACTTAGGTCACACTACACATACATGTACAAGCATGTATATACACACCCCTCTGGGTTTTCTGCTATTTTCTTTCTAGTTCTTGTTCTTGTTTATTTCCTCTTATCTCCATGGGGAAGTGAAACAGAATTCTTCCTCCGTAAGCCATGCGTGTTGTAAGAGGCGACTAAAATGCCGGGAGCAAGGGGCTAGTAACCCCTTCTCTTGTATAAATTACTAAATTTGAAAAGAGAAACTTTTGTTTTTCTTTTTGGGCCACCCTGCCTTGGTGGGATACGGCTGGTTTGTTGAAAGAAGAAGAATTAGCTGATGAATGCTTAACATAGTAGCTATGTTCCTGAAAACAGCATGTAATGATAAAAAAATTGTATGAAATAAACCACAAAAAAAGCTAATCCATATTGTAAAAAACAATGATAATGTAATTGTATGTTGTTATAGTGTGTGTTATAGTGCAATACTTATTATTTTTTTTTTATTATCACACTGGCCGATTCCCACCAAGGCAGGGTGGCCCGAAAAAGAAAAACTTTCACCATCATTCACTCCATCACTGTCTTGCCAGAAGGGTGCTTTACACTACAGTTTTTAAACTGCAACATTAACACCCCTCCTTCAGAGTGCAGGCACTGTACTTCCCATCTCCAGGACTCAAGTCCGGCCTGCCGGTTTCCCTGAATCCCTTCATAAATGTTACTTTGCTCACACTCCAACAGCACGTCAAGTATTAAAAACCATTTGTCTCCATTCACTCCTATCAAACACGCTCACGCATGCCTGCTGGAAGTCCAAGCCCCTCGCACACAAAACCTCCTTTACCCCCTCCCTCCAACCCTTCCTAGGCCGACCCCTACCCCGCCTTCCTTCCACTACAGACTGATACACTCTTGAAGTCATTCTGTTTCGCTCCATTCTCTCTACATGTCCGAACCACCTCAACAACCCTTCCTCAGCCCTCTGGACAACAGTTTTGGTAATCCCGCACCTCCTCCTAACTTCCAAACTACGAATTCTCTGCATTATATTCACACCACACATTGCCCTCAGACATGACATCTCCACTGCCTCCAGCCTTCTCCTCGCTGCAACATTCATCACCCACGCTTCACACCCATATAAGAGCGTTGGTAAAACTATACTCTCATACATTCCCCTCTTTGCCTCCAAGGACAAAGTTCTTTGTCTCCACAGACTCCTAAGTGCACCACTCACTCTTTTTCCCTCATCAATTCTATGATTCACCTCATCTTTCATAGACCCATCCGCTGACACGTCCACTCCCAAATATCTGAATACGTTCACCTCCTCCATACTCTCTCCCTCCAATCTGATATTCAATCTTTCATCACCTAATCTTTTTGTTATCCTCATAACCTTACTCTTTCCTGTATTCACCTTTAATTTTCTTCTTTTGCACACCCTACCAAATTCATCCACCAGTCTCTGCAACTTCTCTTCAGAATCTCCCAAGAGCACAGTGTCATCAGCAAAGAGCAGCTGTGACAACTCCCACTTTGTGTGTGATTCTTTATCTTTTAACTCCACGCCTCTTGCCAAGACCCTCGCATTTACTTCTCTTACAACCCCATCTATAAATATATTAAACAACCACGGTGACATCACACATCCTTGTCTAAGGCCTACTTTTACTGGGAAAAAATTTCCCTCTTTCCTACATACTCTAACTTGAGCCTCACTATCCTCGTAAAAACTCTTCACTGCTTTCAGTAACCTACCTCCTACACCATACACTTGCAACATCTGCCACATTGCCCCCCTATCCACCCTGTCATACGCCTATAAAATTACATTAATAATATTTTTTTTACCCTAAATAATGAGTGCTGGTGTATGTCAGTGATTTTAAAAGGTGTAGAGAGAGAGATGGTGTGGCCCTGCTGGATTGAGATGGAAGGTTGTGGATTGTTAGTGAGTAGATGCCTGATGCATTGATACCAGTCGCACTGATGTTGAGGATTGTAATGAGGAATTTTTGTAATGCTTCTCTGGTCTGTTTTACCCTGCAGTACTCTGTACAGCTGATGGTAAAGCATCATCAGCTGCCCTAGACCCTGTTCTAGAGCAGCACTTCTAGATTTGCCCCCATTCTGATTTTTCCCCATTTATGCAAACTCTTTGCTGCTTATTTGTCAACCATGCCTCTACCCAGGAAAAAATTTCTCCTCCTATTCCATGTGCCTTAAGTTTCCTCAGTAGCCTCTGATGTGGAACTCTGTCGGAAGCCTTACTGAGTCCATGTACACAATATCATATTCATTACCATGATCTACCTCCTAAAACACCTTAGTGAAGAAAGTCAGTAAAACCGTGTTGAGATTCATTAATCAATTTATGCCTTTCAAGATGGCTACGAATTGCCTCAGCAATTATTGATTCCGTAAATTTTCCCACAATGGAGGTAAAGCTCATTGGTCTATAGTTCAAAGCTAAGGACCTGTCATCTGCCTTGTAAATAGGCATTACATTTGCTATTTTCCACTTATCAGGCACTATGCCAGTTTGTAGTGATATGTTGAAAAGCTTAGCCAAAGGTTTGCTAAGTTCCTCTTTACATGCCTTTAAAACCCATGCAAACAGTTCATCAGGGCCTGGGTATTTGTTAGGTTTTAGTTTCTCTATTTGTCTGAGGACCATGTCACTAGTTACCCCAATCATGCATAGTTTATTATCGTCCTCTTCTACATAATTTATTATTTCTTGAATTTCTTCCTGCGTAAAAACTGAGAGGAAGTAAGTGCAGTAATGCCCCGCTTTACGGCGTTTCGCCTTACGGTGTTCCGCTAATACGGCAATGTCAAATTATGACCAAAATTTGCTATACGGCAAGCGGTCTTTCAAATACGGCGCCCCCACCCGATTTGTTTACATTTTCCGTGACCACATCTATTATGTCAGGAAACTTTCCAAAATTTCAAGTGTTTTAAAGTTACTGCATATTTTATATGTACAGTACTCTGATAATTATACTTATGTGTACCTGTACCTAAATATACTTACTGTGCTGGTGTGCAGGTACACATTAAAATCGCTAAGTCTCTCTCTACTCATGACGCCAATACTACGTAATAATAATCACTCTTGGGCACACTAAATGTCTTACTTTACATCAATATAGGCATTTTCATTAATCCATCTATGATATTTTCCTCAAAATTATATATGAAACCCATTACATAGCATATAAACATGATACATACACTCACAGAATAAAAATTGATGTAAATATGAGATTTGTTTACAAAGCAGCTGTATAGGTAGTGTGGGAAGAATTACGTTTTCTCTAGTCAAACTGGGGGATAACTGTAGAAAAATATTCTTTTTGTATGCCTTTACTCTGTATATAGCAATTCACGACCCTTGTGGGTTTAGTGCTTTTTATAATAAATAATAATAATAATAATATTATTATTATTATTATTATTATTATTATTATTATTATTATTTTTATTAATATTATTATCATTAATATTATTATCATTAATATTATTATCATTAATATTATTATCATTAATATTATTATCTCATTCACTCTAAAAATGGTGTGTTGCTGTTTGTTTATTCTTAACTAACTTGTACAACTTGTACACAGTGTAAGAGTATTTGTATTGTGAGGTAATTATTATTATAATAAAAAATATTGAGGTAAATGTTTTACAAAATCTTACAAATGGACGTGAATGAACTAAAAGTAGACACATATTACAAGTCCTCCATCACAAATCCGGCATCATTGGGACCTGTAGTGTGCCGGATTACTGAGTTTGCTGAATTACAGAGTGGTTAACTTAGAATACACTTAATAAAATTAACCAACTTGACTTACACAGTTCTTTGAACATCGGCAAAAATCGAACATTTCCGCTACTTTGAGCTCAATTTCAAGGTACTTTTCGTCATGAAAGCAATCAAAATCATGTCTATTTCTGTAATATATCTTCCATTATATCAAATGAGTCCAGAAAATGAGAATACAACCATAAAAACCATACGAAAATATACTGCAAAGAGGCGGCTAATGGCTGAGGAGTGAACTCCCTTATTTATCGTCCGTCATTTTTATTTTTGTTGTACGTTAAGAAGCATCTTTCCATCATACATTGCCCAAGTTTCAATGAGATAGCCCAACAAACAACCGAGAAAAAAAAAATTACCAAAATTCATATATGGCAAGCCCAAGCCAGGTACTGGAAATAAGTCACTTTATCTGACTTTTCTGGGTTATCCTAGGTTCTTTATACATACATCGCAATGTATGATAATCTATGTAATTGTATTTGTGTATACCTGAATAAACTTATTTACTTCTAGTCTGTCAACTGAGTACAAGAAACCGCCCATTCACTTATTTCAACTACCCATTAAAGTGGTCAGAAATTGGCAATTTGGCCGATTTCACACAAATTTCAACAGATGCCAATTTCAAAATAGGATCCAGAATAAACAATGCAGACATTCCTGGCACTAAAATAACATTTTCTCTGTTCATTAGTCACGGCTACAGGCCCCTCTTATATTACTCTTGCTTACCATTTGGAATTTTTATTCACAAAAAAAAAAAAAAAAGATTTACTGTTATGCAGACTACTGCATTATTGTAATAATTGTATAAA